ATCAATTTTACTGGGCTCAGGTCAAGACATTGGCAGGCTTCCTTTCTTCTGGAAGCTTCAAGGAGAACCGTTTGCCTTGCATTTTTTAGCTTCAGTGGCCACTTACTCCTTCCTCACATCACTCCAAACTCTTGCTTCTGTCATCACATCTCCTTTTTCTGACTCTGATCTTCCTGTCTCCCTCTCATAAGGACCCGTGTGATTACAATGGGCCCACCTGGATCATTCAGGATAATCTTCCCATCCTAAAATCCATAACTTAATCACAGCTGCAAAGTTCCTTTTGCCATATAAGGTAAAATTCACAGTTTCCACGAATTAGGATGTGGAAATATGTGGGATGCATTATTTAGCCTCCCACAGTGAGTCAGAAAACTCTAGAGAAAGAAGCACGTCAATTTCCCTATCTAAGGCCCAGAGCCAATTGTATCTAGAAGTAGCAGGAAACACCCAGTCCGGATACCCTTCTCTGCTCCTTTTGCGTTTTAAGAGACATAATTTTATTAACTGGGGTATGGAAAAGATCCTGAAGCAGAAAATACTGTTTCTCCTCCTATTAACTTCTATGTAGAGAATTTCAGAATGTCAGAGAATAAAGAGACCTCCACATTCTTCCATTTGAAACCGCTTCACTTCAGAAAGGATTCAGTGGAGGCTACATGGTCTAGAGAAAGAACATAAGGTTTGACATCAGACATATCTCGTTTTTCATTTCAGCTGATTCCTCACCAATTGTCTAACTCTAGCCAAGTCTGTTCCAACCTCACAAAGTCGTTCTGAATTTGACAGAATAATGTTTTCCTCTCCTCATTCCCTAGGATATGGCACATATTCAGTCCCCCATCTAGGGCCAAGTCCTCACAAAGCTAGGGCCTCTAGCTCAGAAAGTGGTCTCAAAAAAAAATCAAGCAGTCTCTTTTAGCAAAATATTTCACATGCATTATGCTTAGTGATCAGTATCCGATTGTCATGTAGCTGGTTTGTCCCATCGTCAAACCTGTTATGGCTGAATTCCTTCAATTCCTTTTCCATAGATCCACAGCCCCAGTGAGTTCCATCCCTGGAGTAATGGAATGAAACAGAATGACAAGTAATCCAGGACAAAGGCCAAAAGAAAGAAGCTGAAGGCTAGATGAGGGTTGAGCTGCATAGGGGAGAGTAGCTAGAAGAATGTCCTTAATGGAAATTCATGGAGTTGAAAATGAAGACCGAACCTGTCCATTGGGGGCAGGTGTGGTGAGCTGATTAGAGGAGAGAAGAGATGCCTGATTTCCCATGCAAGATGGACACTGCATGGAGAATAGTAAGTATAACAGATAATACTTTGGGAATATTAGATCAATATAATTTTGTCTTTATTACTTCAAAATTTCCAGTTGTCCTGAGACACCTAAACCAAAACCCACAGCCTTTGGATTTGAACACTGAGATTTTGATAAGCTAGGAGCACAGGAACTCAGGATATAATATACGGGAAAGTCCCTGTAGTACCTATAGGAGGTAAACTCTTGTGGCATAGGTGTGAGGAGAAACAGAGGGAAGGAAAAGTAAGAGCAGTAGACAGGCGAATACATGTGTCCTGATCACTCCTCTGAGGGACTAAGTTCCTGAGGTTGGAGAAGACATAGGATGAGGAGAGGATCAAAAGTAGAAACGCTCTCCTGATGCCCATTGGGAGACCTGACAAGAGACCATTGCTCAGGGTGATGCAGAAACCCCAAGTAGGTTGAGGGACAACAGAGCAGCGGCAGTGGAGGAATGTGCCAGAGAGCTCAATCTGAGACACACTTCTGGCTCCTGGAACACAGGATGTATGCCTCAAGCTCCTGCATGCCTCAAATGGGAGGTGCAGAAAGCAGCTGAAAGTTCTACCAGAGAACCTGCAAAAGTAGGATCAGGTTGGTGGGAAAAAAAGGGCTACAAAGTAGACTTCCTACGTCAGGGCTCCAAAAGGAATCACAGCTGGTAACTGATAGTGATGTGTGTGTGTGTGTGTGTATGTGTGTGTTTGGGGGAATCACATTGGAAAACCCCAAGTGGGACCATTTCAACAAAAAGAATGCCACTGAGCCCTAACAAAGTCAACAACAAATGACAAACAGTCTGTGGGTCTCTCAGCAACAGACTTCAACAGTGGATACCACGGGCTAGATCCAGATTGACCATATCTCAGCAGAATCCAGCCATGTATATATGCACAGATGAGAGTGATTGTTCAACTGCAGAAAGCAGCACCAGGAATCACATGAAACAAGAGAAATTCTACATCTCATCCCAAGATCCATGTTATCCCACAGTTTCAGTGTTTCTCCTATACTCAGAAGCCACCTTGAGAAAGGAGAGAAAGAAATAAACTAAACCATTCTGATCAAAACTTGAACTTTGAACTAATTAAATATTTACCTGGAAAGATTATTTTAAGTCAAAAGAGATTATACTCTAGGAAACTAGCATAGTTTTAATTGGCATATTATATTGTTTGCTTTTTTCCCCTTTCCATATTGCCCATCAAGATGTAAACTCAGGAAGATAAGACCACTATAGAAAAGAAAGATGCTATATTTTCATGGAACATCTATGAAGACTGTATTGAAATTTGTTACCCCGTAACATAGGCAAGTTGATCTTGAAGTAAAGATTGTTCTGGACTCCATGTGCGTGCTGGTAATTTATTAAAGAAAGACTGCTTTTCCAGAAGTCAGCTGTACTGTCTCTGTCCAACGTTAACACATAACAAGGAAATTGCATAAAGTTTCAAGGAGATGATTCTTATAGAACGTTTAGTACTCAGTAACTATTAGATGCCAAGTCTTTCTTTCTCATACCCACCAGCACCACTTAAGTGGCTTCCTCCAAGTCACATGGTTGGTCAGGCACAGAGAGAAGACTGAAGCGCAGAAATATCATTTTAAATTTTTACTAGTGTGTAGAGTTAGGAAGCAGAGCAATATTCAGACCCTCTCTTGACAGAGCTAATTAGTGATGAGTTGTATCCAAGGCTATTGAAGCTGCTGTCAAGTATAGAGGTCATCAGCCCAGGTAACCTGCTTCCTAGAAGGTGACCCTTGACAACACATTGGGGAAAGATGAAGAAAAGCTAATTCTGGCAAAAAAAAAAAAAAAAGAGAGAGAAAAAGTAGAAAGAAGTTTAAGGGGAAGGTGTATAACTGAGAACCAGACATGGTACTCGCTTGGGAGTGAACTAAACTATTCCTAGTAACAGGAAACTCCTGTAGCAAGGAGATATTAGGATGGAGGAGAAGGGGTGGGGAAGTGGGTGTTGGGAGGGGCTGCAATTCCAAAGGAGTGAAGGGAAGGACAGGCAAGCAGCAGGTCTGAGCCTGCACAGACACTGCAGGAAGTGAATTTTCTCCAAGGGCTTGGAATCCAAATAGTGCATAACATACTGATTCTGTCAATGAAACTCGTGGCGTGGATCAGGCTAAAGGAGAGAATTACTGCTATCTTCTCAAGACCACAGTTTGGAACCTATGGTGGTCTAACTCCATCTCCGACCACAGTATCTAGGATGAAATAATACTGTAATATCCACACTGGAAAAGCTAGACTTCCACAGGTGCAGGCTCCTTAGAGGTCTAATGGAATCTCTGTTTCACAAATGAGAAAACTGAGACCTTGGGAGGTTAGATGACATTCCCTGGGTCATAGAGCTGCTTATACCAAAGCCAGAGCAAACATCAATTATCCTGTCCCCAGTCCAGAGTGTTTGTCCCCATGGGATATTACAAATTTCCTTTTCAAGGTATCAATTATTCAAAGCCTGTAGTCATATCTAATTTGTTGAGGCAGAATTTTAATTATACCCTCCCTCCACCCCTCGGCACTCACCCACGTCACCCAGAGGCCAATCAGTAGTGCTGGATACTAAGCCAGAGAGTTAACTTCCCAGCATCAGATATATCTATATCAACAATAATTTTGGGGCCGGCTCCGTGGCCGAGTGGTTAAGTTCGCACACTCTGCTGCGGCGGCCCAGGGTTCGGATCCTGGGCGCGGACATGGCACCGCTCTTCAGGCCATGTTGAGGCGGCGTCCCACATCCCACAACTAGAAGGACCTGCAACTAAGATATACAACTGTGTACCGCGGGGGTGGGGGGCGGGGGGTTGGGAAATAAAGCAGAAAAAAAAAAAGAAATAAGAAAAGAACAAAAAGATTGGCAACAGTTGTTAGCCCAGGTGCCAATCCTTACAGAAAAAAAAAGGAAGATTGGCAACAGTTGTTAGCCTAGGTGCCAATCTTTAAAAAAAACAATAATTTTATAAATTTCATTTATATTCACATCAGGAAAATAATACATTTTTATTGTAGAAATTTTTCAAAATATAGATGAGAAAAAGAAAGAAAATAAAAATGCCTATAAACATATTACCAGAGATAACCCACTGACATTTTTTGATCCTCTTTCCAGTTCTTTTTCTGTCTCTATTTTTATATATTTCCAACTGTATGTATATTATTTTTTGCAATTTAGGATCATACTGAACCTCAATCTTCTAACCTAAGTTTTTCATCCAATTCCATATCATCTGTGTTTGCAAAAGTAGGAAACATACATTTTTATTTTACCATCAAAGACATATTTTTATTAGATGATCACACACTATGTCACCTAGGAGATGTTACCCAACAGTTCTCTCCCTTTACCCTTGAGTCACCTAGAGCTGTTCATGCCAAGTATACCAAGGAGCCTATGTAAATACTTTAATATATGTGAACTTAAGACTTCTCAAAGGCCTCTAGGCTACGGATATGATGTTTCTACTGTGCAATGCCTACTCACCACTCCCTAGTCACTAAAACTACGTGTGTGGAAAGAGGGCAGAAAGTGCATTCATCTTTTTCTCTTAGGAAGGAGATCAGGCTCGGAGATTTTAATTCTTTTCTTCTTCCCAATTAATCTCAATCCCTTCCCCCCAGGTCAGAGGAGTAAATATTCGCATCTCCTGACTCCTGCCAAAAGTCCCCAACAATGCCATAGTCTTGAAGGGCAGTGAAATAATCAAGAGTCAGGGAAGGCCTCGTTAGCCTGGAAACTAGAAGGGCAATTAAAAGTTGAGACGAAAAGTTTTCAGAATGTTTATCCTCTTGGGAACTTAGAAGAGTAGGGAGCTTGGTTGCAGAGAAGTAGCTGAGGAAGGGGGGGGGCGGAGAATGAGTAAAGGAACATACCAAGAGCAAGTAATTGTCCTTTGGGGAGTCTTAGTTCTGAAAAGTTATCTCCTAAGGCTGACCAAGTAAAACCTCCATCCTCAGGAAAAGAGTGGACAACTTCTTCAAGGACTACTTCCTAAGAGATGTGCTACCCCTCATCCAAATGAGTTCTGTGCATGAGATGAACACTCAGCCTCGGTGAGTCCCCCATAGGGAAGGTTAAGAGGAGGTGGTGAGAGGATAGACCCCAAATCCCCAGGAGCAGCCAGGACTGGCCTGGGATCCTCTACTGTGTTTTTCTCACTGGTTGCAGCTGGAGGCTCTTTGATTCCTCCCACCACCTAGACAATGCATCTCACTATTTTCAAGCTCCTCGATAGAGTCCTTGGTCTTGTTCAGTCACCCAATCAACAGTATTAACTGAAGTGCTTAGTATATACAGACATATATTCAAAGAAGTAAAGAGTGGAGGTCAAAGCAATATGGCTCTCTTTTTGGCCTTAAGACATCTTCATTAACTTAGAGATAAGAAGAAGGAATGGAGAAGAGCTGGACTTGGCATAGGAACCAAAGGTAGACATAGACTCCATATTTTCTTGAAAACAAGGATGGTGAAGTTCTCAATCATCAAGAAGCATAATCCCTGTGGAACTAAGGCAGGTTTGGTCCCTGGTCTGATGGAAAACTTAGTGTTAGGGGTCATCCCACTCTAGGAATGATGTGGCAGTAATTTTGAAAGAAGCTCATGTATCAAAGGCCACAAGTCTTTCGGCTTGACCCAAGCAGTTTTCCCATTTTTATTTATATGGCTCCTTCCCTATTTCCTTAACCTCTGTTTTTCAAGTCAACCTGGTCCCATTCATTGGCATTCCCAAATAGTTATTTGTGATATGAATGCTTTGGTCTCCAAACCCAGCAACCAGTCATACCTGATTGCCTACAGTACTACTAGTTATGCATACTGACGGTGATCAAAGAATGAAGAATTTCTTTTTCCCTTTTATACTGCTTTAAACTATAGCTTGTGTTTGTTCATTTATTTTAGATTTTAATGCTGGGAGAAATCTTGCTGTTTACCTAATTTGCTCATTCTACAGATGGAGAAGCTATGGCTCAAAGAGGTAATAACATACAATAATGCCTACATGGATTATTGAAACAGGTTGAAACCTGGGTCTCTTTACTACCAATCTACATACACATTTACGACATCTACTTTTTCAGGAAGCAAATGCACAGACTGTTTCTTTGCTTCTACTTCATTATTTCTATGTATCTGGGTGGCTGTTTACATAGTACATCTCTACGTCTCCAGTTATCAGACTTGATACTCCAGCATCCTCCGAAAATTCTGATAAGGTCATGATTATTCTTTCCCTCTATCCTCCTGCCAGGCTGTTCCTGGAGGGGGAGACCAGGCTGTATTCATCCCTATTATCCTAGCACCTGCACTGGACCAGGGATAACTCAGTGCTCAGTAAATGTTCACTAAGTTGAGCAAAGCAGAATGAAATTCTCTAATTATCTCAAAAATCAGAGGATGAGGCTATCTATTAACAAAAATAGTTTATAATCATCTGAAAATAGCATCAAAAATTTGTTGGAAAAATGTCCTTAATTTCCTTGTTTATAAAATGAAATGGGTAGAATACATGATCTTTGGGCTTCCTTTCATTTCCAACATGTTTTATTCTCTCATATAGTAACAGGGCCCTTCTGGAGGGAATCAGGATCCATGTCTGTGACTCTGAAGGTGAGGATTCTGGATGCTACACCAACCTCTGGATTGTAGTAGACCAGAGTTGAGTTACTTCCTCTGCTGATACGAGGACAAGGCTCCCTGAGGCAGTACTCAGAACCCCAGCCACCAGCTACAGCACTCTGGCCCTAGGACCCATCTCCAGCCCCGAGAAACCTAAGCCAGTTTCTATTCTTAGCAGTCTCTGCAGTGACAGCTTCTGGCCACCACAGGGCCAGGGCTGACTGGAAGGGAAGAAACGCCTCCTCCGTTCAGCTTCTCTGCTCTCTCTCTCCAACAATAAAAGCCCAGGCCAGTGTTCCCAGCTGGAAGGCATCTGAATTGGATGATGCTCTTCAGTTCTGTCATATTTGAGTCTGTGACTCCATTCTGGTTTTCTGAACACTGACGTATTATTGCATTTGTCCTTTGTTCAGCTGTCTCACTTGCTTCTCACGTTTTTTACCAAGATCTAATTTTTAAAATCTTTTATTTCTGTGGCACTGCTGATTTTCTAAACACAAATCCCTAATGCTGAAAGGCAGCATTTTGTAGAAGATCGATGAAAGCATAGTGACTCATATGCTCAATAAATACTTTTAAGAAATGAGTTAACTAATTTACTAATTTTTTTAAGAGCAGGAAGTATGCCTTGAGATTAAATTTCTATGAAGAAAAACTGATGGCATTTAATTCCATTTTTGTAGAGGGCTGGTCGACATGTTGGAAGGGGGATAACCCAGCACAATCTTAGCTGAGAAAGGAGACGTCACTGCCTGTAAAAGGATTCAGTGGATTTCAGTCACTTCATTCTCAGCAGTTACATGTGAGTGTCATTGGTTTCCAAATGTTCTCTTTACATTGTTTTGTTTATTTAAACATCTAAATAATTGCCTGCCACTTACTACATAAATTGCACATTATTGAGAAGGAAGGCATAATCACATTGATAATTACAACTACAAATTTAATTATCTAGCTAGTAACTTTATTCTTCTCCTTCATAGTACTTAGCACAATTATACCAAGTTAATTTTTTGTAATTACTAATGTGTCCCTGATTACGTTATAAGATGCAAGGAAGCAGGACTTGTGCTTCTGTCTTTCTGGTTGACGGACAGGTGTCTGATGTCCAGCACAGTCGCTGCACAGAGCAGGTGTGTACCAGATATTGGTTTCAGGGATTGAAGCCTCTTTTGGACTGATGGGCACAATGAGAATGACGTGAGAGGATTCCTTTCTAGGCAGTGACCTAGACTGGACCCAAGAAGAAACATGAAGAGAAACAGAACCCAGCCTTTTAGGAACAACACTGAGGAGGCTGGGCTGCCCTCTTGGTCTCAGATGTCTGATTATAACACCCTACCCACTGTTCCCCCTGCTGAAGAATCCTTCCTGTCCTCTCTGTTCTCCGCTGTCCTTCCTTCCTTTTTCATTTTCCATTCTTCCTTCTTTAGTTTTTTTCTCTTTTCTTTTCTTTCTTTCTTTCTTTCAATCATTTTTTCTCCCTTTTCTCCAGCACTGTTTTCCCCCTATTTTTCCTTCTGCCTTGATAGCATATCTCCTCTATAACTGTAACTGTGCTGGATCTTAGACATAAAAGTTGACCAGAATAGGGACTTTATCCTTGAGAATTCCACAATCTAGCGTGAGGACCCTGAGGTCCCTTTCTCCAGCATCATCATTGCATTCTCCCTCAGCACCTAGGTTAAGGAACCTGAGGAGAGGTGTCCCAATTCCAGCGCCAGTCATAGCCCAGGACTTAACCCTAAACTCCTAAACTAAGACCATCACTTGTCCCTTCCTGACTCTGCATTTTCCCCAACAGCGTGACCCACTTGCTCCATGAGGAGGGACAACCTGACCTGGTTGAGTGAGTTTGTCCTAATGGGGCTCTCCAGTGACAGGCAGATCCAGGCTGGACTCTTTGTCCTATTTGGGGCTGTCTATCTGCTGACCCTGCTGGGCAATGGACTCATCATACTCCTGATCGGGCTGGATGCACGCCTGCACCTTCCCATGTACTTCTTCCTCTGCAATCTTGCAGTAGTGGACATTGGCTGCACCTCCAGTGGGGTCCCTCAGCTGCTGGTGCACTTCTTGCTGGAGAAGAAGACCATCTCCTTCACCCAATGTGCAACTCAGCTCTTCTTCTCACTGGCCCTTGGGGGCACTGAGTTCCTGCTGCTGGCAGCAATGGCCTATGACCGTTACATGGCAGTCTGTGACCCACTGCGTTATGTGGCAGCGATGGGCCTGAGGCGCTGTGTAGCACTGGCAGCAGTCTCTTGGCTTGTGGGCCTGGCTAATTCTGCAGTGGAGACAGCGGTCACCATGCGCCTGCCCACCTGTGGGCACTACGTGGTCAACCATGTGTCCTGTGAGACACTGGCATTGGTCAGGTTGGCCTGCGTGGACGTCACCCTCAACCAGCTGGTCATAGTGGCCTCCAGCGTGGTGGTACTACTGGTGCCCTGTTGCCTGGTCTCTCTGTCCTATGCCCACATTGTGGCCGCCATCCTGCGGATCCGTACTACAGGGGGACGCCGCAAAGCCTTTGGGACCTGTGCCTCCCACCTCACTGTCGTCTCCATGTCTTACAGGATGGCCCTGGTTACCCACATGCAGCCCAGCTCCACAGACTTAACTGAGCAGGACAAGATGGTGGCGCTCTTTTATGTTGGAGTGACTCCCATGTTGAATCCACTCATCTACAGTCTGCGGAACAAGGAGATGAAAGCTGCTCTGAGTCGAGTTCTGATGAGGAGTTCTGAAGCAAAACTTTAGTATGTGACTTTGTCACAAGAAGGCCTCACTCTGCAGACAGTGGGCACTGAAGCGTGCCCTCCTCCATAATGTCTGTACGTGCCTGTGTATGGGTGTGTGTGCATGTGCATGTGTGTGTTCACTTGTGTGTAAGGGAGCAGGTGGAAGGACCACAATCTGCACTACTATCTTTTGAGGTAATAGAGAAATGAGGTTTTACCTCTGATCTCTATTTTTGATCCCTGTCTTATTCTAAAAACTGTGAATTACAACTTAGAGATTATCATCCTACATAAAATTAAGTGAAAAAAATGATTTAGTGGCATAGATGAATTACAAAGGAGGATTAAATCAGAAGTCAGGGCAGTGCGCAAAACTTCTGCAAAGAAAGACTATTTCCTTGCTAAAATCTACAACTATGTGTTTAAGCTTTTCTGCAAGCACTGAGAAAAGGGGGTAGGGGAAGCTGTAAGTTACAGAATTCACTGTGCCCATGGGATCAAACAGTCTTGGGCTGGAGGGGCAAAAGTCACCCTTGTGACTCACACATGGTCCAACTCTGCTCACTAGGGTAGGGAATTCACAGAGATACCTGGAGTCAAAGTCATAGCAATAATGCCCACAGCCCTGATGAGCAGGACTGGACCATTTGTGAGTCATGTGGACATCACTCTGCATGTTTCCCTCTCAGAATTGCAGTGGTGGCAAATGCCTTGCCATAAAATCAAAACTTCAGGACCCCAAACACATATCTTTCTACACAATCAAGTCTAAGGATATCCTCTTGTGAAAACTGAGAGATGCATTCAGCACTCACGCTTGACTAGAGGATCACGTCACACACGATCAGAGGTGAGCTCAGCTATTCAGCTTGGAGTCGGTTTCCCATTAATAACTTTGAATGTTTCCAAGGTAATTAAAATGTGAAACTAATTTGAGAATCATTGCTTTAGAGGGAAACTTTAACCTTATTTTTGAAGACTCAAGACATGGTTTTTGGGAGAGGAATATGTTTTGAGATAAATCTAGAAGAACCTCGGAGGAACAAGGATCTTTTGGGCTAAACGTCTCATTCTTCATTTGAAAATTTGAGGCCAAGAGAGTTTAAATGATTTGCTTCAAATCCCACATTGAATCAGTGAAAAAGTGCCCCTGGATATCTTGCTTTTGTGGAGCTGGGCCATCCCTGAGCCTTAGCTTTCTGAGATCTGGTCCCAGAAATGTTTTGGAATATCTTAGATCCAGGGAAGAACTAGTGAGTATCAAATGAGGAGATGTGTGAGAAAGCCCTTCATAAATTTCAGACATTCTCTAAATGACAAAGATTTGTCTTAAGGACATGAGAACTGGGCCACAGAATCTGATGAAGTGGAAATGAAAACAGTTCAACAGGGGGCGGGCCCCGTGGCAGGGTGGTTAAGTTCCCACGCTCCACTTCGGCAGTGGGGGTTTGCTGGTTGGGATTCTGGGCTTGGACCTAGCACCGCTCATCAAGTCAGGTGTGGCGGCCTCCCACATAGAGGAACTAGAATGACCTACAACTAGACAATACAACTATGTGCTGGGGCCTTGGGGAGGAAAAAAAGGAAGATTGGCAACAATTGTTAGCTCAGGGCCAATCTCCTCACTAAAATAAATTCATTAATTTAAAAAAAAATAAAACAGGGGCTGGCCCCGTGGCCGAGTGGTTAAGTTCGCGCGCTCCGCTGCAGGCGGCCCAGTGTTTCGTTAGTTCGAATCCTGGGCGCGGACATGGCACTGCTCATCAGACCACGCTGAGGCGGCGTCCCACATGCCACAACTAGAAGAACCCACAACGAAGAATACACAACTGTGTACTAGGGGGCTTTGGGGAGAAAAAGGAAAAAATAAAATCTTTAAAAAAATAAAACAATTCAACAGCAGTCTTTCTAACCGGGTTTGAAGCTGGGGCTTGTGGTTGGATGGGGTGAAGAGGCAGAGCAGCTGGATCCTATCCTTTATCTCCTAACTAGGTGGAACCTACCCTCTTCCTTCTGTCAGTCCTTTTTTGGACAGAAGGTGTCCCTGGAAAAAACGTAAGAATAGAAACTGAATTTGGGAAATACCCAGCGGCTGGGTTTCTGAGCCCTGCACCTGGCATGGGACCCTCTGGCTTTCCATAGAGTCTATTTTTTCTGTCAGTGCAGTAAGTAACCAATCTTTAGTCCCCAAATATGGCTCCTGAGTGCCAAGAACAGCAACAAACCCAAAATAGTGAAAATGCAGTGGTAGTGGCACGTGCTCACACCAAGGTAGTGAAATAGAATAGAAAGTCTGGAAATACATCAACATACACAGGAATTCAGTAATGATAAAAACTAGCATTTTAAATCAGTGGAGAAAAACTATTCAATAAATAGTGTTAAGGCAATAAGCTAATCATCTGGAAAAAATAAAATTTACCCATACATGACACCTTATACCAGAATATATTTCATAAGGTTAAAATATTTAAATGCAAAAATGAAAGCACAAAAGTACTAGAAGCAAAGAAAAGGAGATTTTAATGATATCAAAGTGAAGAATGACTTCTATCAAACAAAATTCCAGCAGTCAATAACATTTTTTTGATAAGTTCAGCAAAAATTCTGCATGACAAAAGTCACTATCATAAAAATAAAAAAGCAAAAACAAAGACAAAGAAAGCCCTAGAGGGTAAGGTGGCAGCCGGGTACAGATGCAAAGGGGTAGCATAAAGGAGTTCTTTTGTGATGATGGAACAGTTCTGTGTCTTGATTGTAGTTACACGAATCTAAGCACGGGATAAAGCTGCATTAAAACACACACATGAAGGCAAGTTAAAAAGATTAGTGAAACTGGATATGGTCTGTAGACTTGTTAACAGTAATGTACTGATGTGACTTTCCCAGTTTTGATATTGTCCTACAGCCAAATAAGATGTCACCACTGGAAGAAGCAGGCTGAAGGGGACATAGGACTCTGGACTATTTTTACAACTTCCTGTGAATCTATAACTATTTCAGAATAAAAATGCTTTAAAAATTAATATTAAAATCAACAAAAATTAAAATAAAAAACACTGAGGGTAGGTGGAGGAGTATTTTGCTGATAAGATACAAAATAAAGAGCTAATTTCTCTAAGACATAAAGAGCTCCTAAAAACCAATAAGGAAAAAGCCCCAAAAACCATCACAAATTAAGCCACAAAGGGGCTGGTCCAGTGTCATAGTTGGTAAGTTTGTGCTCTGCTTCAGTGGCCTGGGGTTCACAGGTTTGATCCGGGGTGCAGACTTACACACTATTCATTAAGCCATGCTGTGGCAGCATCACACACACAAAATAGAGGAAAGTGGGTACAGATGTTAGCTCAGGGACAATCTTCCTCAAGCAAAAAGAGGAAGATTAACAACGGATGTTAACTTAGGGCCAATCTTCTTCAACAACAACAACAACAAAAATTAAGCCACTGTACAGACTGTTCACAGAAAATAAACACGAATGGTTCCAAATGGTTCTAAACATATAAAATAATAAACCTTACTCAAAATAAGTCATGCAAATCACAACTACACTAATATGTCATTTCTGCCTAACAGACTGGCAAAAAATAATGTGTGAAAACAAGCACTCATAAATTGCTGGTGGGAAAGTAAATTGATCCAAACCTATAGAGGGCAACATCTGTCAAAATTAGAAATGCACATGCCATTTGACCCAGTACTTCCATTTCATGAAATTTATCTTTTAGTTAATTCACACATGTGCAAGACTGCATCTGTAGAAGATTCATTCAACATTGAAACATTTTATCATAACGAAAGGCAGGAAGCAACCTAAATGGCCACAAACACGTGACTAGTTAAAGAAATTGTAGCACATCCACACCCCCAACAAAAGAGTGGGCAATGCAATGTGTGCCCACATGTGTAGATCTCCAAGATATATTGTTAAGTAGAAAGAGCAAAGAGCAGAATAGCGTGCATATTGTGCAACCACTTGTTTAGAAGGACACAGGGAAAACATAGTAAGTTAATTGGTTGGTTAGTTACTGATATGGAATATACCCGTACATAAGCAAGTTAGTTGACTGGTTTGGTGGTTAGATATTAGTGACTTTCTGCTATAGAATAAAATATCTCCAGAAGGACAAGCATAAAACTGATAGGAATGCCTTAGGAGGGGGAAGTAAGAGACAGATTTTTTATATATGCTTTTCAGTACATTCTGAATTTTTAATATGCAAATGTATTAAGTATTAAAAAATGAATTCTTAAAGTAAAAATGTAGAATAATTTGCCCAAAGATTTTAGTTGATGACTGTGCACCACTCAGCAATGTATACTCTAATCAGTAGGGAAATTATTTTCACTCAAAAGAGATTAAAATTTCTCCCTATCAGGAATACAGCTGCAAGTTAGTTTCTAAAATTTGCACATTGATGTCTTCTAGCAAAAACTTTCAAACTTGCCTTAAAGGCACCCAATTCTAATTAAAATTTTCTCCAAAATCATTTCTAAAACCATTTGCATAGTAATTGGAGCAAACTATTTTAAAACAACATTTAAACATAAGATTGAAGAGGGTGATTCTTTTTTGAATTAAAAAAAAGAGGTTAAATAGCTTTTGGACACAAAAGTGAAATTCTTGAGTGTTTGTGTTTCAGAACAAAAAGTATATTTTTTTTTAATCACATGTAACTTCGTGACATTTGCTTTAGAAAAAAGTTCAAGACAATTCAAAGAAGGAGAAAATCACAATGTGTGATTCTAAAAGAAGAATCAGCGTGAACAAAGTCTGGCTGCCACTTAGACTTCAGAGAGGAGAAAACTGAAGGCAGAATAATGGAAATATTAGTGAGAAAAGAGATGGGGTGGTGTAAAGAAACCTTCCAGTAGTTTTAATAAAATTAAAACAAAATTATCAAAGTTTGGCAAGAGAAAAAGAACCTCCCTAGAAGGAAGGCTATTAGCCCTCACAGCCCCGGCCAAGGTCTGCCACCACTGCTGTCCCTTGGGGCTCTCAGAGTTACTATTACACTATCCTGCTTCCCCATCCACACCCTAGCTCAGTCATAGACACATTTTCTCTTAATACCCCAATGGGTTGTCAAGATGAGACACTATGGTTAATCAAGACATTTTAACCGAGACTTTCATGTAACAGAGGGGATACACTCAGCCCATAGCATAGCATTTTATATTCTGACCTTCTGGACAACACTGACTTTCTGGGACCTTGTTTTAATAGTGTCCCAAGGGAGGAATCATGTTCAGGGAGCTCCCAGACTTTACTCTCCTCCTCTCCTTCCCAAAGGAGAAACCGTACAACATGATCCAGGAGACATGTGTGCTTATAAGGATATTTCCATATAAGTGGACACGGTTCTGTCAACCTTACCTGAGTCTCTTCTGTGGGTCTGGATAAGGAGACCATGCCACCTAGGCCACCCAGAAGCCCCTGGCCAACAGAAGTAACTGCCTGAACACCCTTCGAAACCTGAGGTTGCTGAGGATGAGAATAAAGGAATGGACAGATGTGCCCAGGTAAGTTAAAATTTGCCATGGCCAGTACCAATCACTGTCTGAGGACAAAAACAGTGCAGCATCGATGACCAGTGACACAAAGGACATCACATAAAGAACAAGGAAGGAGATGATTGACCTCAGAGCGCTGGTGAGAGCCTGGGTGCTAGAGTCCTGCAGGCTGTGGGCATTATGCCACATTCTCCGTGTGTGTCTCCTCAGAAAAGTAATCAACAGTGCAATTGAGATCAGGAAAATAGAGCAAGGAATTGACAACGTGATAAATTTCAAGGGTAGGAAATAGTAAATTTCCAGCCTCCTGCTCCATTGCTCGTAGGTCATGTTTCCAGAAAATTTTCTAATGAAGAATCCTTGATACATACTGTAGTTCCCCCAAAAGAAGAGCAGGGTGACAATGAAAGCGACCAGGAGAGAGCCCAAGAGGAGCCAGGGCACTGACCCTGGGAACCTCCACTTCAGCCAGAGGAAGGTGGGGTGGGTGAAGGTAGCAATCTTCACGCAGAAGAGGACACTGAGCCAGGTGCCGAACCAGAAGGTGGCTGAGTTCAGGAAGTCCCAGTGTAGACCAAAGAACTGCCATGCGGTACCCCTGCAGTACTCGACCAGATGGAGGAAGAAGTAGAAGTTTCTCACCATTCCAACCCACTGCAGGCAGAAGCGGGAGGCACCCAAGCTAATAAGGATCATGTCAGAGGGAAGCAGCCTCCCACTCCGCATCCATTCTCTGCTCAGCACCAGCACAATGAAGCCATTGGCCAGGATTCCCAGGACACAGAGCAGGGCAAAAAGCAGTATAAAGAAGGCTGTGAGCCCTGGCTTCATGTTGACTCCTCCTCTGGTCACCACCCCGTGCCTTAGTCCCTGGCCTCCTCCTTACTCCCACTCACAGTCCCTCTTTTGATCTTTCCTGAGGGTGTGAGATGAATGCTCAGGCACTGCATCTGAGCCAGAGCTCACTTGGAGGGTGGTCAGGCTGTGGCGGAAAGGTGAGCTCAGCTCAGTGAGCATGCAAATTTCCCTGGGTTCAGTTCCCCCTAGGCCTACCAACTGCCCCTGATTTGCCTTCTCTGATTTTCCCTGCATGCTGCCATGGTTGGCATCAATGGAGAGGGTTTTTCAGGGTCTTTGTGACTGAGTTCCATTCTTCTTATTGCATCCTTGGGCCCTGTAAACACACCTCTCCCTATCAGATCACCCTCAAGACATTAAATGTATAGGCAATGAGTATAGGGAGACACTCATATGGCCAAGACCAAGTCAACATTGTGACACTAGAGAAGTCTGTCTCCAGCCGAGCTTCTCTTTTATACATCCACCCTCTCCTATGAGCAGCCTCCCCCTTCAAGGTCAGATACCTTGGTCCACCTTTCTACCAAACCTCTTCTTAGACCCTTCATGGCCCCTGAGGCGCAAATCATTGATAATGGCGTAGACTGGTTTCATGTTTCCAGTGAGAGAATTTATTTCCTTGTGGATGTGGGGCTGATCTGCTTCTTGGTGGGTGTCAGTTGGAGGCTTCCCTCAGGTTCTGGTGGCTGCCTGAAGTCTTTGCCCAGTGAGTTGTTTCAACATGGAAGCTCAAGCCAGCAAAGAGAGTCTCCAGAGAAGGTCTACAGAAAGATGCTATCTTAAATATCATCGTGTAATCAGGAGAGTGACAACCTATCACCTTTGCCATATTCTATTGGTTAGAAGCAAGTCACAGTCCCCACAGACGCTCAAAAGAAGAGGATTACACAAAGGTGCAGATATGAGGGGTGGGGGTTATGGCGGGGCCAATTTAGAGTCTATTCACCACACTGAGATATCATAGCTTACAAGATACATGTGAGTCCTGTCCTCCAAGATCAGCATTAAATAGAGATCCCTATGGGACCATGTTGAAAAGCAAAAATATTTTCTTGAAAAAATATGTTCAAGTTGATCCACAGTCAAGTGCTTTCTGTTTAGTACTTCAAATCTGTCCTTCCTCCGTATTTCTTTTAAAAAGTTTTTATGTTCCTGCATCCTTTTAGATTGTGACTTTGTCATGAAAGAGTTTACTGAGAAAATTAATCATACAAATAATGTGAAGCTTGTTACCACCACAGCATGAATGTATATTTGTATTAAAATTCTTAATCCACATTGAAAAGAGAGATCCCACTGCAGTTGGGTGAATGAGCATTTTTCTCACTCTCAGATCCATGTTCCTTATACAGTTTTTATTCATTTCTTCATTCATTCAACAAATATTTATTGAGCACTTATGTGCACAGGGTACCTATTCTAGTCATTGGGAATACAGCAGTGAACCAAAGAGGTGAGACTCCTGCTTTACGGAACCTGCAGTCCAATGGAAGGTAACTGACAGTAAGCAAACACATGAACAGGACTCCGGCACGTAGTAACCAGTGCTTGAAGAAAGCAGAAGAGTAAGATTGCTGGAGGATGGCTGGAGAGGGAAGAGTTGCTCCTTTAGACCTGTAGGTTGGGTAAGGCTTTCTCAGGAGGTGACGTGGGCTCAGGGGCCAGAGCAAGTAGAGCCTTTGCCACTTATAACTGGCTGTACTCATAACATTATCAAGTCATAATTGTATTCACTCTCTTCCACCATTCTTTGTAACTTTATTCAGCAAGAGAAACTTCTCCTGCCAGAGAATAAGAACTCCAGTAGGCCAGATGAATTTTCTTTTCACTCGTCAAATAGATTTTCTCAAGGTCTCTCCAAGCCACAAAACAGCCTCAAACTAGATATTGGACATTTCAGTTCAATATGTGAATACTAGATAACTAGATAAGCACAGCTTCAACCCCTCTGAGACTGGCTAATGTGGAGAGAGAATGGAAAAAGGGCAGGAAGGGCTTTACTTGGACTAGAACCAAAGTAATCTGACCTTGTGCTTCCCAGGACTGGCAGATGTTTAATGTTGACTCTCTCCGTCACGGGGAACTTTTAGGGCTCTGGAGGTTCCTTACTGGGCCCTCTCTCCTGCAGTCCCCTTCAAGGGGGAGAAAGTATCTCTATTTTGGGTGATCCCTTTGGATATCTTTTTCAGCCACTAGATATTTGCCTCCAAATTGTTGCTGCTGGAGTTTCCACACTCCACTAGGCAGCCTTATTAGTCAGATCTCAAGACACCTTTACACAAGTATACACAAATATATATTAAAAATATTTGTGGCACACAGCTGGTCCCCTAACCCTCCTGACACAGTTCTAATGTAGCCACAGTCTCCTGACTCTACCCTAAAGTTAGCCAGTTTGTCTTTCATTCTGTTATACTCCCAGGCAGACGCAAGACCCCAGTCCACTATGCTTCCCAACTGAAGATATAACACAGTAAGCTTCATGAGTAGCCCCATGGAAGCTCTCAACCACCACCAGGTTTAAGGTGAGGAAAGACATTGCTAGTCCTCCTTGGTAGAATATGGAACAGGACTAACAACATAGCTTTATCTAAATATTTATTTCTCACAAAATCCTCTCTTTTCTACTGTCTCAACCATTTTATTTTATTAAAGGATTTCAAGAGTTATGAAATTAGTTTATGTCCATTTCCTTTGAAAACCTGCATATCAGGAACTGGCAACTCACTCTGAAATCTCATATCATTAAATTTTTGCACCCGGTAGAAATGTCAAATTTTAGCATCCTGTTATTTAAAGAGCAAGATCAAGAAAGTCATATTGGTCATGGTAAGAAATGTGGATATTACCGTAATGTAATTGAAAGCCATTAGGATTTTTTTTAACAGAAGAGTAGCATGATCTAATTTATGTTTTTAAACAGATCCTCTGGGATATTATGTACAGAATGAAATTGGGGAGAGACAAGGTTGGAAGAGAGCAGTCAGAGGCTACTTCATTAGATCATGTGCAAGCAGATGGTGCTTGTCCTCAAGTGGAAGCAGTGGGGGTAATGAGCAGTGATAAAATGCTGGCATATTTTGAAGGCAGAGCCAATAGAATTTTCATGATATGGAAGCAAAAGAGAGGAACCAAGGATATATCCTAAATATTTTACCTCAGTAACTGGAAAAATTTTATGGAGCCATTTACCGAGATGAGGAAGACTGAGAGAAGAATATGTTTGTGGGGGAAACTCTGCTTTGGTCATGTTAAGTTTGAGATGCCTATTAGATATCTAAAATGAGACATGAAGTGGACAATTGAAATATAAGTCTAGATCTCTGTGAAGAGTTAAGACTGGAGTAACAGGCTTGGGAGTCATTAATATTAACATGGTATTGAAAACCCATTAAACTAGATGAGATTTTGTGGGAAAAGAATGTAGACGGAGACTATTAGAGGGCTGAGAGTAAGCCTTTCACCTTCAATTTTTAGAGGTTTAAAGCAAAGGGATCCAGCTAAGAATACTTGTCTGAGACTGATAATAGAGAGGGATTCCATTCCCTGAGCTCGAGCTCAAGGACAAGGGGAGGAGAAAACAAACAGATGAGGAAGGAGACGTGGGAATGAAAAATATGCTGAAAAGATTCTAGTTCTCCAGGTGGTCTTCACCCAGGGGTTGTTATGCTATGCTTTCTGGAAAGATGCCCTAAGGCAGACACTGGTAACATGTTCTAACTTTGAGAGGTTCTTTGGTTGGGACTCAAATCTAGGACAGCAGAGTGCCAGTGTTGAAACTGGCATCTGTCCTGTGCTTTACCCACTGATTGCCTCAGCAGAGAAGCCCTATTTATCACTCACCCATTCAACAAAATCTATTCGGCATGTACTGTCTGTCAGGCACTAGACCAGGCAAGTAGGTACAAAGATTGTGATAGTCTTTTGAGGGAGAAAGATAAGTAGATATATAATGACAATTCAGTATAAATGATAAAATAATAATTAATATTTATTTAGTGCTGCTATGCATCGCCAAGTACTATTGTAAGTGTTTTACATATATTAATTTTTTGATACTCATAAAAACTCAATGAGTTTCAAAAATGGTGCTGGGACAATTAGATATCCACATACATAAGAATGAAATTGGATCCCTTCCTCATACCAAACACAAAAATTCACTCAAAGTGGACCATAGATCCAAATATAAGAGATAAAACTGTAAAATTCTCAGCGGAAAGCATGAGAGTAAATCTTCACGATCTTGGGTTAGACAAAGCTTTCCTAGATATGACATCAAATATAAAAGTGACTTGGGGCCGACCCTGTGGCCAAATGGTTAAGTTCACATGCTCCACTTTGGTGGCCCAGGGTTTCACCAATTCTGATCCTGGGCGTGGACATGGCACAACTCATCAAACCATACTGAGGCGGCATCCCAGATAGCACAACCCGAAAGACCTACAACTGGAATATACAACTATGTACTGGGGGGCTTTGGGGAGAAGAAGAAGAAGAAGAAAAAAAAAACCAAGAAGATTGGCAACAGATGTTAGCTTAGGTGCCAATCTTTTAAAAAAAGAATATTAAAAAAAAGGCACAAATAGGGGCTTGCCTGATGGCACAGTAGTTAAGTTCTTATGTTCTGCTTCAGCGGCCCAGGGTTTGCCTGTTTGGATGCCAGGTGCAGGCATTTGCACCACTTGATAAGCCACACTGTGGTAGGCATCCCACGTGTAAAGTAGAGGAAGATAGGCACAGATGTTAGCTCAGGGCCAGTCATCCTCAAAAAAGAGAGGAGGACTGGTAGCAGATGTTAGCTCAGGTCTAATCTTCCTCAAAAAATAAAAATAAAAATAAAAAGCACAAGTGACTAAATAAAAAATAGATTAATTGGGCTTCATCAAAATTTAAAAACTTTTGTGAAAAGACACCATCAACAAAATAAAAAGACAACCACATAATTGGAGGAAACATTTTCAAATAATTCATCTGATAAAGAATTTGCATTCAGGATATATAAAGAACATTTATAATTCAATAATAAAGACAAGTAACCCAATTTAAAAATGAGCAAAGTATTTGATTAGATATTTCTCCAAAGATGATATATAAATGGCCAATAAGCACACCAA